GTGCTCAGTGCGACTCTTATCCCACTACCTTTTCTCATTTGTCCCTTGAGACCTATCTCAGGCTTATATTTCAAATAGATTTTTCAGGATGAAATCTAATTATTGTATTTCCTTTGATATATATAAAATTCTTTGTTCACAGCATATGAGTCTCAGATGGTAGACAGTGTTCTTGGTGTCTCCAGTTTCTGAAGTAAAGTGTTTGAAGTCAGCCTAATTTCTTTTCCCTGTAGGTGACATGAGTCTCTGGCTGGATGCTAGAAAACTCTTTTCCTTTATATCTCCGAAAATAGCTTTTATTAAGCAACGACTTGATGTTGTCCCACTTGTAGTAAGTTTTCCTGGTATCTAATGAATACTTTTTATCTGTATATTTAGGTATTTGTTCTTTATATTTTGTTAATGTTTATCTTTGAATAGTTTTGGTTTCAGGTGTTTTTATTGTATTTATTCAAGTATTTGTTGTATATTTATTTTGTACCAGACTCTGTACAGATCAGTGGGGATAGAGTGGTGAGTAAACAGACATGGTCCCTATCCCTCTGCCCTCACACACATCAGTCAGGCCTAGAGTGGATATAAGTGCATTTTGTTCATACTCCTGATGGCTCATTACATTGTCTAAGGATTTGTATCTGTCATTCCCACCTAAGATATGAGCTCCCCAAACAGGCACTGTGTCTTATATACTATTGGACAACCTGACATATGGGATGGACCTCAGTTAAATGGGTAAATGGCCTGATTTTGTTGAAATTGTATACCTATTCTTTAATTTCCTCTTATATTTTGCTTTCTGCCTAACCACTGTGATCCGTTCATACCTTTGTTCTTATCTTCATCTCTTACTTGTAATTGTATATGTGATATTCTTTGCCTTGTGCAGTATACCATCTCCTAAATATTTTTCCTCAACCAATGATCACTTTTCCAACTGCTGTATCTCTTATGTCTATGATATATGTCTCCTCTTTCACCACTGTGCCTGTAATTCCAGTGCAGCTGTTTCTGAGAACAAGAAACAATGTTATTTTTGAAAGGTGAGATTTGTTATATCCATATTCTTGAGTACTTGCTGATTTTATTCCTGCCATCTAGTGGCCAAATCAGGATTACACCATGACTTAGGTGTGTCTTGTTTGGTCCTTCCTGTCTGTAGCCAGTGTTTATTTTATTTTAAGTTTATGTATTTATTTTGAGAGAAAGAGAAGAGAAAGATGGGGGGGGAGGGGCAGAGAGAGAGGGAGTGAGAGAGAATCCCAAGCAGGCTCTGCACTGTCAGGATGGAGCCCGCCACGGGGCTTGAACTCAACAAACTGAGATCATGACCTGAGCTGAAATTGAGTCAGATTCTTAACCATCTGAGCCCAGGTGCCCCTTTTTATTTTATCCTTAACAACATAATGCCATAAAAGACACAAAACTTCAGCTCTAACCCCTGCCCCATGAGATTGAGAAGTCAATGGAAATATTTTTTCTTCGTCAAGTTAGAGGGTGAGATATTAGAGGTGAGTGGTTTTTTTAAAACATCGTCATTTGCTATCCCTCTGTGAATATTAGACATGGAAATGTAATCACATTTAACTGTTTTCAAATGTATTGTACCACTAGAGGGTTCATAACTCAATCATCTGTAAAGGAAGAAAGAGAAACATTTGAAACTTTTACCAGCTTTCATTTGGAATCATTAAAGGTTTTGGGAAAAAAAAAATTGATGTTGAAATTACTGTAGTTCTAAAAGAAAAAGGCTAAGTTTTCAATTATTTTGATTATATCTTTTATCCTAGAAGGTAACCATATTACAGAGATTCCAAATATCTATATTCTAGTTGGCAAAGCTAGATGGTTTTGGACTTGTCACCAATCGAGCCAGCCATTTCCCAGGGATTTATAAAGATTGAAAATACTTTTATTACACTGGCAAAATATTTCCGTGCAAATATAAAGAGTGGTATTGTTACTGATATTTCATGCATTTTAAAAAATTCTAATTCCCTATCTTTTTCTTCATTCCTTTAGATATAAAGATCAGCTAGAACATTTTAAAATTGCTTTAAAATTGGGTTGCATTGAAACTATAAGCAGAGTGTTGACAGAAGAAAGTCTTATGTGATGCCATTAATCCTACTTTTTATCCCGTAAGGGTGTCTCTTATGAGGTAGTTTGTAGCTTTGTTTTGTCCTCAGAGGAACTTAACTGACATTGCCAGGAATAAATTCAAATCTTAGTCATACAGAGTAAATAAGTCAGTTTGTATCCGTGATGAAAACAACTTACATTTGGCTCACAGTTAATTTTAATTTATTCTTAAGTCCCTTTGATTAAATAAAAATGTTTCTTCATAATGGGAAGGATTGTGTAGAATAAAAGGAAAGGGAACTCAGGAAGGTGATTGTAAATCAAAATATTTTTTACTTTATTTGAGAGGCTTTCAGGTCTGTAAAGCAAAACTACTTTTGTAATAATACAGTTTGCCTATTGCGCTCTCATTCACAAGTCGAATTTTCCAGAGATAATACAATATGTAATGATCTCACCACTCTGACAGCTGATCGAAATGTGTGCTTTATATTGTCTTTTAAAAATTTCTGAGTTTTAGTTTATAATACAGTAAGTAGCAATAGAAATAACCCACATTGTAAAAGCTCAATAATTTTTAAGAGTTTGAAGGAGTCCTGAGACCAAAAAATTTGTGAAGTGCTTCCCTGTGGCTTGGTTAAATCAGATTTGTAAGCTTGCTCCTTCTCATTTCCTGTGTATTGTGTTTTTTCTCTGTCTGTTTTGTGTGCTTTTGGTATTTTTTTTAGGAACCATAACCAAGATGGCAGTTCAGGAAGTTGGCTCTAAATAGTTCTTGCATAAAGGTAAAAAGCGAGATACAGAGGACAGAAGAACCTTCTTCTAACAGTATGGGCCAGAATGACTGTCTTTTGATGATGTGCTCTCATCACTGGAGGGACTCAAGCATATATTAGACAACTATTATTGAGAATATTTTAAAGCAGATTAATGGTGTTCAGGTAGGAGACTGTACTAAAAGAGATCTAATAATATGAAGCCCCTTTACAAGACACTTGAAATCCTACAGTTTTTGGGCTGAAACCACTTAGGCTGCATATGAGTTCTAGCACTAACAAATAGAGTAGAATTCTTGTTGGTATTGCTGAGTTAAATTTTTTCCTATTAAGCCTTTTGAAAAGTTAAATTACAGAAATGGACTTTGTAGTTGTTGATTCTATTTATCTATTTTCTCCCATATATAATGTGATCTGTTTAATCATCTTGCTTACCTTTTTTTTTTTTTAATGTGTTTTATTTCAGTTGGTCGCATTATGTTTCAGCTCTTCTCAGACATATGTCCAAAAACATGCAAAAACTTCCTTTGCCTATGCTCAGGTAAATGAATTATTAACGATGAGAAATCGTGGCTTGCAGTTTTATCTTGCTTCACAGAGTAGATATTTTCCTTAAAAAGTATTGGGCTGTAAAGTGAGTTTAGCACATTAAGAAACACTATTTTTTCTGAGAGGAAATCAAAGAAACATTTCTTAAAGGGAAGAGAGGACAAAGAAATGGTGTTAAAAGTGAAAAAGAAAGTACTATTGCATATAATCTCGAAACATTGTAGTTCACAAATTCTAAATTTCTGTTTTTTGAACAAATTTAGCATTTGAACAATTTAGATTTCACAAGAAATTTAGGATTAGAAGATAGACAAAATGTAATGCAGTTGTTTGTTATTTATAGTTGGGTTTATATTTTTTTAAACTAAAATAGGAACTCCTCTATAATGTTATTTTAAAATAGCAAATTAAAAAAATAGCAAATTAAGATTTTAAGTGTGTGCTTGGATATACTTGCATACATATACAATGTTTGTACCAACTCCTTGACCACCCTCTTTTGCTGAAAGGATAAGCATTTCTAATCTTGCTTTTCTCCTGTAGCACGTAGAATCGCTGCCACACAATTTAAACATTTATATGCTACTTGATACTTACTTTGGTTCATGCGTGCTTTCCGTCTTCTCCCTGTCTTGTATCTCTTACAGTTACAGCACATGGGAGGGGTTTCACAAAGAACTAATTGGATGGGCATTTCCATGGAAAGATAATTTGTAGCTAAACTTCATTTCTTTGTTTTCCAGGAGAAAAAGGCCTTGGGAAAACAACTGGGAAGAAGTTATGTTATAAAGGTTCTACATTCCATCGTGTGGTTAAAAACTTTATGATTCAGGGTGGGGACTTCAGCGAAGGTAGAGCTAAAAGTTATGCTTTTAATAACTCCAACTATCTGTTTCTTATGTATCTCATTATACTTTTAATTGTAAATATTGTATTACAGTATAATGTAAATATTAAGTGGTCTACAAATAGATGTTGGATGAATGAACGTTGTAGAGCAAGAATGTATGAAAAACAAAATACTAAGCCATTTTATTTTGTTTTTATATACTTTTAATAATATTCCAAATATTTGGTAAATTCCCTTATAATGAATGCCAAGTACTTGTATATTATTTTTATTCTTCCTGAATTCTGTTGGTCTGATTACTTTGTGAAATAAATGGATTATGGAGATTTTGTTTTGTTTTGTTTTTCTCTAGAGTTCTATTTCCATTCTTGTATTCAAAAATTTTCCCTGTTTATGTTCAAAATAAACAACTGTATCGTTAATTCCTGTGTTTTACTTCAAGTGCACTATACTTGGAATGTAGATGTACTTGGAAAATTCAGAGTACATCAAAACTACTACAAGAGTTTTGAAAATTACAGTTAATGTTTCAGAAGAAATCTGCTCAGGTTTGCAGGTTATCTTTCCATTAAAAGATGAAAAAAAGCCATCCTAGCCATGAGTTTGTTACATTTAATCAAATTCTTCAATATTAATGCATAAAAGCTTAAACAATTCAGTCTCAACCAGAATCAGTTCATGTTAGAAAAAACTAGAATAAGAGCTAACATTCAGTTTTCCATGTTCACAATGTTTGAGAAAGCATATTTTGACTATTAAAAAAGCTTAGTTAACAAAAAAGTTCAATATGAAAATGCATGACCTGATTTTTATACTGTAGTAAAACAGGTACTATGGAGGGGACATGTGGAAGCAGTTGGTTTCTTCAGGTGAACACACCCATCGTTTATACTCGTTCCGAGGCTTCTAACATGATGATGCTGTTTCCTCGAATTACCACCATTCCAATATTGTTCTGTTGCCCACTAGTTGCCATCTCCACACGTTCATCTATCACCAGATTCATAAAGGGATCGAATCCCCACAATATTCCTTGGACATGTCTGCCACCATTTAATTTCAATGATAATTTCTTGCCCATAAATTTTTTCAACTCAGGAGCTTTGCTCTTGGTGTCTACTCGGCGAGCTCAAAGATGCCTCCTATGGAGATTTTTTTTTAATGTTTTTTAAATTTATTTTTTGAGAGAGGCAGAGCATGAGCATGAGCAGGGGAGGGGAAGAGAGAGGGACACACAGAATCTGAAGCAGACTGTAGGCTCTGAGCTGTCAGCACATTGCCCGACGCAGGGCTTGAACTCGTTAACCTTGAGATCATGACCTGAGCCAAAGCTGGATGCTCAGCCGACTGAGCCATCCAGGTGCCCCTGGTGATAATTTTTAATAACATTTATTATAACAGTATTGGACTTTTTTGTACTTATATTTAAAGATGAGGTTAATTGAGGATTTGTAGAATTTTGATTATGGCAATTACAAGTTGTTAGCTTCTTTAGCAAATTGAAAGCATAAAAAGTAATTTATATGTATTAGTATATTTTAAATTATCATTGTTACTTAATATAGGACATTATTTTGCAGGTAATGGAAAAGGTGGAGAATCAATTTATGGTGGATATTTTAAAGGTAAGGCTTAATATTTTATGGTCTTTTGTTTCAGTTCTGATATTAAAGCAGATTTGATCATGTACTTTTAATGAGGAGAGGTTTACTTATAGTTCACTTTTTGCATGAAACTAATGCTGCATGAAAATACTTTATTTGCATGAACTTGGGGATAAATTATATTGTAATATGTAACTTTTAATTGACAAAATTAAGGCTAACTTTATGGTTAAACATGACTTTCAGCATGGAGGTTAGGCAACTATATACATGAAAACTCCTATCTTCCTGCCTAAAACTGTCAACATATTCTTTTGTTTATAGAGAATGTGGTCTTTTGCAAAATGAAAAGGTAAGAGAACGAAGCTCAGTAACACAAACTCCAATTCTGTTCCCTTGCACCCTTCCTAATAAATTTATGGATAGCCTGGGTCAGGTTGTGGCTGGATTTCTTATATTGCTTGAAGACTTGGAAAATTCTCTGTACTATTTCATACATGCATCTGTATCTTTTTTCTTTTCACAATGGGTTTAGTTCTACATCAGGGAAAAAAATCTAGTTGTGTTTTTTCCCCCCTTAAACCAAACAATTTCTTTGAATAAAAGTTGGTATTTCCTACTTTCTCAAAGGTTTGTATGTTTTCTTTTGTATACTAGAACTATATGATTGTATTTTATTTCTACAGTAGTAGTATTGCATAAGTCTCATATTGCATTTGCCCCAAAAAGCCTTAGAAAAGTCAGTTGCAGAGATTTATAATGGGATCCAATCTGATTAGATTTTAATGCCATGGTAGCTTCAGTGTTATAATAGTCTCTTATATTTCTTTTGGGGGAAAATGGATTACTACTCTTTTTCAGAAGCCTGTTCCTAAGGTAATCATTTTTTAAAGTTTTCTATGTTTCTGTTTGTTTTAAAGAAAGATTTGTTTGTATGAATGCTAAAAGGAAATTTAAATTAGTTTTCAAGATATTTCTGCTGGAATTAAAATCCTCTCGGAGTGATCCTTACGACACTCAGTTTTTCCTCTGAGCCAGTAGGAAGCACTCATTAGCTGGTTCTGTCAGCTCATAGCAATTTGAGACTAATGTTGTAGGCCGCTTGAATGTGGTTGTTCCCTGCGGCAGATACTTATGTATTGTAATTATATTTTGCCCTTTAAGTTTTTGTTTTTATAGGATTTTCTACCTTAGCTAATTTTTTATCCTGTTGTTAGGAATCTATATACTTGATTTAATGTAGGCATATTCTTACAACTTACTTTATATAAGTTTTTGGTTTTTGCTCTCATAGTCTAGCTTTAGTACAGTTGAGTAATAAATGTACCATATAGAAATTAAGTGCATAAGATTATTAAACTTCTCCCATGTTGAGTGCATTACGTAGGATAATTGGAAATTTGAAGGAAATGAGCTTTACTGTAAAGATTTTTCTAAAATTTCTTTACTAGCTTTCCCTGAAAGTAATAGTCTGCGTATCATGTAGCCAAAGTATGTTACTACTAAAAGTGACTGTTCTAAGGCTGTTTGTATCAAGTATTAAATATGTGTTCTTTTCCTCAAGGCTTTAAGTAGTATCTTGGATCTTTTTATGCTTTTGTTTTTTGATTAGTTAAAAAAATTTTTTTCTAAATACTCAGACAAATATCTGTACTGACCAGAAGAGGAATTTCATCCTTTGCTTTCTATTTATTACTGTAAACATTACACTTTAAAAGTGGCTTATAATTGGAGACTGACGAATTTGTGTTTTCTTCAAACAGATGAAAACTTTATTCTCAAACATGACAGAGCGTTCCTTTTGTCAATGGCAAATCGAGGGAAACATACCAATGGTTCCCAGTTTTTCATGTGAGTAGGCATAATTCAGAGATGAGCTTTTCTTAAACAGAGAAGCGCTGTTCATGAGAAAGATGGTATAGTTAAACCAAGTTTAATGTTAGAATTCTGTCAACTTGGGCGTTATTCTTAATTTCTAATGTTACAGTAACTGGTAAGCTCTAACAGCCGCCTCAGCTTTCAGCATATATCCTGCATTTGAAGAAAGGTACTTACAAGATGTAACTTGAAGATGTACATTATTTTCAAAATATGTTGGCTTCTACTTAGCAAATTTGGGAGCTCAGTTTGCTAAAACTAGATTGGAACATAAACTGTTGATCAACATTTAAAAATTGTTCATAGATTAGGAGTAGATATACTCTTGGCCTGGAAAGTAGTTATTTTGAGTAAACCTTTTTATGGTGGCTTTTTTTTTTCTCTTAATGAACTCTTTGAGTTCATTTGAGAGAGATGCCATTATTTCTAATACTGTATAGAGATGAGTTGATTTGGTGTTGCATCAGCATTGTAAAAATCTTAAATCTTTTGAGATTTCTATGCATAATTGAATTAACCCAATATTGCTGTCATTTCCACCAAAACTTGTGAGATTATTACTCAGGAAACTTCCGAATGCTGAACTTACTTCTTAAAAAAAATAAACAACTTTTCACGTAGGTAAACGTACAACCAAAACCTTACTTACTTCTCATCTGAAAGAACTGTGGCAGACTTGTAGTTATATCTCTAAAACCTATTTTTATTATAATCCCATGATGTAAAATACGAACGATAATTGACTAGCATGAAGTTCAGTGCTTTTGATTGGAAGTAAATCTCTGGAGTTTTGCTGTCTATGTTGGAGAAATATTTTATCACAGTTTACCAGAAAAAAATTTTTGTCATCTTTCTGAATGTATGAGTATGAATGGCGCTTCCCTGTCTTTAAAGGAGCAAATTATTCATGTAAAATAAATCTCACATTTTAAAGTTGTCTGCAAAATAGATTTCCAACATGATCTGATAAAAGTTCAGATAAGGAGCATTCTGTTTCTAAGAATGTCCTAAAAATGGAAAGCTGATGGAAGATGACAGTGTTGGAGCTGTGCAGGAAAAAAGGAGGACCAAAATCATTTGTTCCTAGATCATGTTTTGATCCCATAGAGCAGTAGTTATTAAGACTTCTCTACTAGAGTATGTTTCTATCCTTAACCTTCTTAAGGGCCAAAAACAAACAAACAAAAAGTGGGAAATATTTTGAAAAACTTCTTTTATAATAATTTAAAACTGTTTATTCTTTGATTGAGGTTTCCCATTTTCCATTTTTAAGCTTATCTGAACTGTGAACATGATAAACTAATGATTCATTGGTCTAGAAGCTACCATCTGAGGGCTCTAAAGTTTCTTTTAGATTTCTTTTTTTATATCGGTACATGAATATTGATCAGGCAGCACCAGCCCCTTCCCATTGCTCCACACCAGTCATCTCGTGCACAGAGTGTAAAACTCGGTGCAGGCACATACATTAATTAAAACCCAGTGTCTGAGGTTCTCCCTTCAAAAAATACAGTGTTTTGTTTCTGTGTTCTTTAGTACTTCCTTAAGTCCTTTCTAGGAATGCTTAGTATCAAACAAAATTAAGGCCATTTTGCTTTCTACCTAGTTTAATTTTACATTGGATGGTATTTTTGACAAGGAATGCCAAATGAAAGTTTTAACATTCGTGAATTAGGATTAAAATTTTTAAGCTTGTTTTCATAATTAACTGTAGATGGCAGTGATAGATGGCAGTAAATTCACTGTGAATTTGTGTTGAAAGAAAATTTTCTACTTTCAGTTTGAAATTTACTTGTGGAAATGAGTTTGCAGTTAAAAGCAATCTTGGAAGCAATTTAGTGGTTTTGCACATACCAAAAAAAATCCTTATCTTTTTTTTTAAAAAGAGATTTTTGTGGCATGTGCTTTTTTTTATGCTGGCTAAAACTACCAGGTCCCCATGGGTTGAAGGATAAAATAAAACTAACATTCACCTTTCTAATCAAACACTCCTTGCTTTTATAGAAAGGGAAAATGGAGATAATGACCCATGAAAGAGAAATCTTTGAAAATCTCTGTCTTGCAAGCCCAAATCCTTTTGGAGTTGGAAGTAGTAAAAACAAACAAACAAAAGAATGTATTATCTTAAAGTTGTGTAAACGGTCACAGACAATCACTCTAAAAAGTTGGGGCTGTGGGGGTTGGTGGCGGCAGGGCTGGCCAGTAGCTCCCCAGGCGGTGGCTGCATCCCTCCCTCTCACCACAGCTCTGCCCTTCGTCACCTGGAGCAGCTCTTCTGCATTTGGAACAAGAAAGGGTGGTGTGAGAATGGGTGGTAAAATACCACCAACTCCCTTTACAGTTCCAATTTGATAGGCTTAGTAAGGACTTTTAATGCATCCTTGCAAAACTGCATTTGTAGCTCATATTTTAAAGCTATTTTGTAATTCCTAAGGAGTAAGTTTGGTACTGTTAGTGTATTTGCAAAATGTTCCTCAAAGATTCTTGTGCTTTGTGCAGTAACTTTTGTCTTTATTACTTAAAACTTCCCCTTCCTAAGGCACATATAATTTTTGTTAAACATGATTGCACACATATGGTTCCTTTGGATGGAACAATTATGTATCTCATAAAACTCACATTTTCT